AGAGGCCCAAGGTTCCCTTAGCTCCCCGGCCGGCCGAGCCTGATACCTCGCATCCGCACGCACCCAGGCAAGGCTCCGCCTAGGCGGACGCGCTTCTCTCCCCCTCCCCGGACGAGGCAATTAGTTGTGGCACAGCGCAGGCTCCGGCCCTAAGGTGGGTGACTCCAGCTCCCAGACCCGGCCGGTCACCCCGGGGAAACCCCACCCCCACTCCCACCCCCCACCCTCACCACGGCTCGTTCCGCAGACGCAGCGGAGGAGCCCCCACTCCCGAGAGCCGGGAAAGGCGCAGAAGCAGCAGGCCAGACCGGTAGCGGCCTGCCCTCTCTGCGTCTTGCGCGCTCCACTCGGGTCGGGCGCGGCCTGGAGCCGCTGTTTGCCGAGACCTGCGCGCCTCCGAACCTGGGCCGGCCCACGGGATCCGCAGGCCCCGGAGAGTGCCGGGCCGCGGCTTCCCGCTTCCTGCGGCGCCTCCAAGAAGGCAAGGGGCCTGCGAAATCAGTCCTAGTCGGGCTTATCTGGGAGTCAAGGGAGCTTCTGTTTAGAAATATTACATCGGTACCTGTACCCAGCACTCTCCGAGCGGTCGGGCGGAATTTACGCTAACAATTCTGCGTGCGAGAAAGAGTTAAGCTCCCGGCCAGGGTGAGCGACCAGCCTCCAGGTCCTAGCCTGCCAAGAGCCCCATGGCCCTCTCCCGGCCCGACCTGCACCCCGGAATCCCGCACCATGCGGGAATCTCCACCCCATCCCCGAAGTCTCGTTTTCATGGCCAGTTCTGCTTCTCAACGGCATCGGGCACCGAGCAGATGCCCTGTCGCCGCTTGCAAGGTCTCCGACAGGCGAAGGCGAATGTGGATGTGCTCGGCAGCCCCAGAAGAGCTGGGGAGAAGGAGGTAAAGTCCTCCTCATCCCCCCCCCCTTCAGAAGCACAGGAAGTCCCCGAGGACAGGTCCCAGGCTCGAGCCCCCAGACCTGTCAGGGAGCTCCTCCTTTTGTTCACCTGGCCAGGCCTGGCTGGAGGCCCACTCGGGCCGCCTCCTGAGGCCGGACCGTAGGTGCCCCCAGTTCACCCCCACCCGCAGGATTCCGCCCCCTAGCCTCCCGCCAAGGGCCAAGCAACGGGCCCGCAGCAAGTGTTAATCTCCTGCCAAAGAGGGGGGCCGATTTGCGGGAATTTGTCTCCAGGAAAGGATCTAAGCCTTCTTCAATAGGAGCATATGTTCATAGAGCAATAAACCGGAAAGATTTACAGTCCTCGCCCGGCCCCCAACAGCCTCGCACCCTTTCAGGAATTACTTACGATGATTTATCACATCAACCCGGGCAATTGTCACACTGATAAAATAGCCCGGGCCGGTGCCCGCCAAACCCAGGACCTGGGAGGCTGTTGGCTGCCGGGCTGCCAGCGGGGCTGGGGAGGCTTTTGTGGGTTCCTCTCTGGGCCTACCAGGGGATGTTCAGGTGGGTTGGGGTGGGTGGGGTTGGGGTGGGAGGGGAGCCAATTCTCATTGAGAAAAACGCAAGCAGCTCAGAGAAAGCGCCCGGAATCTGCGTCGGAGTCACTTGCAAAGCACATAAACATTTGTCATCTTTGAATAATTGAATTAATGTATTATTGTTTGAATGTATAATTTATAGCGGAGGAAACTTTGTCTCTGTCCTGACGGGGAAATATACACACACCAAAAAAGAAATCAAAACATACACACAACCCCCAAACAACTACCAAACACAGCCAGCTCCAGCCAGCGGAAATCATCCTCAAAGCCAACGGGAGGGAAGGAGGCGAATAAAGAGGCTCTCCTCCCCGGCCCTGGCCCTGAGTTGCGAGCTGGAGGAGGAGAAAGCCGGCTGCTGCCCCAACCCAGATCCCCCGGCAAGCTGGGGGTGGGGTGGGGTGGGAGCGGAGTGGCTAGTGGGACCGCAGATCTCTCCGTGGAGGATGGGAGAAAAAAGACTGGAATGGGAGGCGACAGGACAGAGAGCCTTTGCACCTCGACCTGGCCTCTCCCGCATTTCCCTGCCGCAGGCTTCCTTTCGCCCCAGGGTCTCTCACTCCAGCGGCAGGGACTTCCAACCCGTGCCTTTATTTTAGATCTTCGCCCAAATTAAAAATACAAAGATAAAGGGGAAAGAAGGAGAAACTCCTTGCGAGGGTGACAGAAGCAGCAGAGCTTGGGTGGGAAAGGAGGGGAGTGGGAGAAGCAACTCGGAAATCATTATCTGTTGGTTAAAACCTGCCTGGGGTAAAATTTCAACTCGATTTTATAGCCTTCTATTATGACGCAAAGAAAAATTTACGACCCTCGCTTGAAAAGAGGGCCGGGGCCTTTTCTCACCAGTTTAAGAATAGGCAGCAGATGCCGTGACAGCGACCATTGTTCCCGGTAGACACAGGCGATCGGGCAACCTCGGCCCGCGTGCGCCAGGCGCGTCCCCCAGCCGGGCGGGTTTTTTACAACTCCTGTTGTTTCGGGGCAGCCCGCGCGCACCCTCGCCCCCTCGGCCCCTCGCCCCTCACCCCTCGCACACCCCCACATGCTCACACACCCCCCCTCTCGCGCTCACATACACACACTCGGCCGCTCTCAGTAATTTTTCATAAGTGCAAAGCTTTGCTGAACCAAAGGTCACCATCCAAGCCACTAACAACTTCTCGCCGGCGCGCGGTTCCAAATCAGGAAGCAAAGGGAACTATTTGTCAGCGGCCCTGACAGCTAAGTTCATTAAGGATTTAAATCTGAAGAAATAAAAGTCGCCAAAATATTTACCTGCTGGCCGCGCTCCCGCGCCCGCCACTGGGGGCCGAGGGTGGAGGGCTGGGGGCGCCGCGCGGCCCCCCTCGGCGGGTGATATTCTTGGGATCCCTGCACTTTCCAAGTCGGAGAGAGCCCTTTGCGTGGCAGATTAATGACGACTCCGTGTTTCTTAAGGGACGTGCTGAATTAATTATTTCGCCAATCACGTGGTCGGGACTTGTAGAAATCTATTCTTATCATCTTCCTCGCACTTTGAAAATTCTCCGGGTTATGAAAGGCCCTCCCCCGGCTGCCGGCGAGCCCCGGCCGCCCAGCCAGGCGCGGGGGGCAGGGAGGGCTCCCCAACATGGCGGGCGGGCGGGAAGCGCCGTCTGCCGAGGGTCCCGATTTACTGTACTGTACTCAAGCGGGCTCGGCTATGGACTCGCTTCCTCCTCGTCCCTGCCCGTGATTCAATACACACAACGGTACTGATGTATTGGTGGGCACAGGAGGAGCCATTAACCAGAAGACGGGCAGAGGACACTCATAAAATGTGTCTGAATATTTAAACTTCTGTCTGCGCACTTATAAATACACATGTCCACGCGTCTGAGGCGAGCCCTTCCATATATTAAGGACACATGTCTGATTTTATGCATTCTGCTCATTTCCTGTCGCGAGCAAGCCCCCCCCCCCCGCTCCCCCAGCTATTTTGGGACTCCTGTCTTGGCCCACTCTTCAAGGCGAGGCGAAGACGAGAGAAAGCCCTCGCGGAAAAAAAAATTAGCGCACGCCACTTTTTATAGTGGGGAGTGTTTATTGTCGTCTGGAGGGCAGAGGGGGCTCCAGGGGAAGAAGGGGCAGGTGCTGGAGGCCCCAATGGGGCTGAATAGCACAGGAAAAGTAGGAGTCCAAGATTGGAGGCCAGAGGGGTCTGGTCCTAGTAGACATTGACTGGCCAGTCCCAGCTTGGCCCAGAACCCAGCACTCTTCCGAGTTGGGGGGGGGGGGTGGGAGGCGTGCAGGGAAGTCTCTCACCCACCACAAAACAAAGAGAGACGGAAGGGGTCTGGGGCGAACCCGGGCCACACAGAGAGCCAACCTGGAGCCTCCTTTTGGCCTAGGAAGTTACTTATTTTCCTTTCAAAAAATAATGCCCTGCAGCCTGAATCCAAGCTTAGGCTGCCCAAGGCTCACAAAATATGGTGGCCAAATTGGGAGCGGGTATGTGTGGGGGACAGGTCAATGACAGATTTGCTAACCCTTACACAGTTTAACCTTCACATGTCAGGCACAATGCAGAAAATAATAAAATAAATTGTTTATATTGAATGTTAGCTTTTAGAAGACTTAATGAAGAATGCTTCTGTGGAGGCACCAAACAGGATGGAGATTTCGCTACACCTTTTATTATTTCAAATATAGATCAATGAATTACATCAAAACTACAGGCAACAATTAGTATAAATAATACTTTAATCAGTGGCAGCAGAACATTGGTCAATTCTATTAAAAAAGCATCTTGTGTGAACAGACACCATGGGGCTGACTGACAATGTCATCTCCCAACAAAAGGCTGCAATGGACAAAGTGAGATGGGAGTCTGAGGAGCAATGTCCTCAGTAAACACTTCACTCCTCCCCAGTCACGACCCCAACACAGCTTTAAAAACAACAACAACAACAACAAAACAAACACTTCTGGCTCATATTTGGGGGAACAAACTGGAAACAAATAAAAGCAAATGGGCACTGCTCCTTTCCACATCTAGGTCTCTCCAGAGTACGTTCCCAGATGGGAACTCATTTCCTTCCCTGCCCTTTGGTGGTGGTGGTTGGGGGGAGGCACTGCTTCTTTCCTGCCCCACTCCTGTGGGCCCAAATGGACGCTGGGGTCCAATTGGGACCACAGGGTTGAGGGCTGCTCCCTGGGCCATCCAGGCTCCATTAACATTTCAAAAGACAATCCCTGGAAACTGAGGAGAACAGAGACTTATAAACAAAGAAGTTGTTTCTCTGATTAAGTTACTTTTCAAAGTAGTGGGGCTATGTTGGAGAAGGAGCTTGGGTTTTCTTCATCAAAACATGCCTCTTGGCTTTCCTCTGGGGCATGGGTGAAGGCAGCTATGCAGTTTTGGCATTTGGTCTGAAGCCAGGGTGAATAACCTGAACTTCTGGGAAGGGGGAAATCTATATAATACTCTATAATATATATGTAATTGGGTGTTGTGAAAATATATACTTTTTCCCCCTCCCAAGGAGAAGGTTCAATATATTCACAGAGTTGGGCCTTAGGAAAGAATCTTAGCCACTTTCCAACTTGCCTAACCAAAGCGGCTCTTTTCAAATGCTACATCCAAAGACTGCTCTCCATGTTAGAGGGGAAAAAAAAGAAGAGAAGGGTAGTTAGAGTCCAAAAGGTTAAGGGTTTAGAGGTCAGTCCTCCCGGCTGAAATACAGCTAATCGAATAGAAAATTTGTCCTCTGGATGAACCTGATTCTGTAATTTAGCCGAACTTCAGTAAAATACCTTTTCAGCTTCTCAACGTGAGGGCGTCAGAAAAAAAGACGTCTTGACTATGTATGGACTCTTTGCTTTTTGTCATAGAAACAATGATGCGAATAATGCAGGAATATCCATCTTTAATATCCCGACGTGGCGATATTCAAGTATTGCCATGTGCAAGTCTGAGAGCCAGGCTCACCCCAAGGAGGAACAAAGAGCTGTCCCCAGGGTCTAATACAAAAGACCAAGGCTTGGAAGATACTTTAGAGAAGTGGAATTTCAGCCTAGGGACTCCAGTGAATACCTGCTCTCAGCTCTCAGGAGACACCAAAGAACATGCGTGCAGAAAAACTCTTTTTTCTCCCTCCACCTAAATATATTTTAAAAAATTACCTCCGCACCTTCTAAAGTGTTCTGAAGCCCTGAAAAAAATACCTCCAGTTCTGAATCTCTCTTTCAAGCTCATCCCTCCCCCCCCACCCCCTTTTGTCACTTTTCTGTAGCTACAACCAGGGGTTTCTTTTTGGAGCCCGAGGCTTTGGGGTTTAAACTTCCAAAGTCTTGTTTCATTTGAGTATATGAACTCTGGCGATTACCTTTGACTCCTTCCCCCCTTATCCTTAAGGGTCAGCATTTTAGAAAAATGAGCTTTGAACCCTTCTCAGGCAAGGCATAAGAAAAATGACTGAAGAACATCACTCTTGTTGTTTGAGAGTGATTGTTCTTAAACCACCATTCTTTAAGGCAAGGAAGAGGGCCTGAAACTTTTATACTTTTACAATTTCTGCTTCTAATTCATGTGTTGAGAAAAACTTCCTTACATCTGTTTAAAAAATAAAAACTTCAGGGAAAAAAAAAACCCTAAGACCAACTTTTGTGGACTTCTAGATTCAATTAGTTTTCTCTCTCCTTTTTAAAGCAAGATTCCCCTACTTTCCCATTTTCTCCCCACTACACACCCCCTCTCCCATATAGGCGTACACCAATTCCTATAAGAAAACTGCTATATGGGTTATTTGGAATCCAGCATTTGGAATCCAGTTGGAACAGAAAATTCAGTCATTATCTAATGACCCAGAACATAGAGGTTTTGTTTTCTTTCCCCAGAAGGAAAAATGTTGGACCATTTGTTTCTTTCTTTTCCCTTTTCTTTAATCACCCAGAACTAGTTGTAAGCACAGTGCTGAAAAAAGCACATGTGGAAATATATTTTCAAGAACTCAACTCTGAGTGGACCCTTTGCTTCCTTCTAAAAGAGTTAAGGGCCCCCTACACACATTTCCGGGGAGTGGGGAGGGGGGTGGAGTTCAAAATGCCGCTTAGAGCCAGAAGTTAGTCCACGCATCTCTGATTCTCCTCCCTGAAACTCAGCCCCTTTCACCGTCTCAAGATTTTTGGCATTAAGATGTCAGTTATTTCTGTTCCCCATCCCCCAACAAATAAATATTTAAGCAAATATAATCTAAACATAAAATAACCCGTTTCCACTTTCTTCTTAGACTCGTTTCTTTGGGCATGGGGCCACTGGGAGCAAAATACTTTTTCTCACACTGGAAATTATACAGATAACCCAGAAAGTTCAGAAATCCTGGCCCAGCTCTCCTGTTTCCCCTGAAAGCAGCTAGCACAGGGCGGCCAACCTTCTGCCTCAACTCCCCCACATTATTAAACCACAAAGATCCCTGGAGGGGTGGGGTGGGGGAGGATGTTCAGATTCAAGCTGGGATAAAGTATCCAACCTTCATTTGCAAATTCAAAATCCAACAGCAGAGATTTTCATAAGTTTAATAACTGGCCAAGGTTTATGTTCTCAGTAGCTCCTGCCATATGATAATGTACTCAGAGAGAGAATCCCGCCCCCCTCCCACCCCCATCCCGCTCCAGGGAGGGAGGGGGCTGCCCTCGGGCAGGATGCTAACCTAGTCCGAGGGCGGCCTGCGTGTCCCAGGTCCACCCCACAGTACCTTAGAGCCCAGGGAGGTGACAGCAAGCCCGGCCTGCCCCCGCAGCTTCGGCTCAGCCGGGAGCGCAGGGAGGAATGGGCCCAGGGTCCCCACGTCTATAAGGTCGTCAGGTCCGTGTGGTGGTCCTTGGCCAGAGGCTGCAAATGTTGGCCGGGAGCAGCTGAGGAAGAGCAGGAGGAGGAAGAAGAGGAGGATGAGGACGAGGACCTGCCTTTGGTGTTGGGCAGCTTGTGGTCTTTTTTCCACTTCATCCTCCGGTTCTGGAACCAGATCTTGATCTGGCGCTCGGACAGACACAGGGTGTGAGCAATTTCAATCCGACGGCGCCGCGTCAGATACCTGTTAAAATGAAATTCCTTTTCCAGTTCTAGGACTTGCTGCCGGGTGTAGGCCGTCCGGGACCGCTTGGGCTCCCCGCCAGTGTAGTTGGGGTTCACTGCGAGACAAAACAGACAGCACGGTCAGGTCAGCGCCCAGCCACTCGTTAGGCCCCTCGCCACTGCCGCTCACTTCCTGGCGCGCCCCGAGGCCCCGCGGCCCTCCCCGCACACCCCCAGCCGGCTGCCTTCCTCCCTCCCGCCCTCCCGTCCCCCTGCCCCGCGTGCACGCACACACACGCTCACTCCCCCCCACCCTCACACCCACCAACTCCCCCAGGCTCCCGGGCGGGGATCCCCAAATGTGCTCCAATCTCCCCGGCCCGGCCGCGAGCTCCAGAATTCCCAAGCATTTAGAAATCCCCCTCTCCTCTACCAGGTTCCCTCCGCTCTGAAAATGGAGTCCTCCCCCACCCCACCCCCATCTCCACCCCCTTTTTCGCCCACGGCCCAGCAGCCAGCCACATGGTCCCGGCCTGCTCCCTCAGCTATAAAAATTTATGGAGAGAGTAATTGCGGCGCCCATTGAAGCCCCACACGCCCCCACCCACTCGCACCCCCTCCCAGGGGCCCAGGCCTCCAGGCTGGGACTGAGAGGTCGCGCGGCTGTGCCTTACCCGAATTCACGTGCACCTTCTTCATCCACGGGTAGACCACGGCGGGCTGCTTGAGTGCCGTCCCGGGGGGCGGCTGCTTGGGGCCGCCCGGCTGGCTGCAGGCCCGGGCGCCGGGCAGGGGCGCGGGCGGGGGCGCGGGGGGCGCGGGGCACGGCTCTCCTGGGGCTCCGTAGTGGCCGCCGGGGCCACTGGCTTCTTGCCCGTGACCCCGTGTGGGCAGCGCGGAGCCGGGCCCAGGGCCGCCGCCTCCGAAGGTCTGCTCACCGAACTCGGGCCGTGGGTAGAGCCCCGGGGGCTGGAAGTCTGCACCCTGCACGCCACCGCCGTAGTAGTCGGCGCCCTGCTCGCCTAGGTAGCCGCCCTGCAAATACTCCTCGCACGGAGGGAACTTGGGGTCCACATACTTGGAGTTCACCATATACGAACTCATGGCCATTAATTTCAGAAGGTAGAAAATACTAATTTTTCTCGTGTTGTCTTTTTTTCTCCTTCCATAGGGCCCTCCTACTTGCTGTCAACTGAATAAAGTTGGCGGCCATGTGACCGGGCCAGCCAATAGCGAGGGAGCGAGTTTATCACCGGGTTGGTGAGCATCTCATAATTTTCACAAATTCAACTAAATAACATACGTGTGATCCAGTGACTCGCCATGGCACATTTGAAGGCCCCCACCAGATGTTACTGTAGTTCTCTAATCCCCAGCAGCCTCATTCCTGGCAGGTAATCCCAGCTTTTGTCTGCCACCGACTTTGTTAACCTCGAGTGCCCTCTCCACGCACCCCCGCCTGAAAACAGCCCCCCAAAATGGGCACAGTTCAATGGGGGGAATGAAACCCCAAATCTGTCAGGCTGCAGAATACCACCAGGCGGGTGGGTGAGGCAGCCTCTGAGTTAGGCGGAGTACCCCAGGCAGGCAGGGCTCCCGCCCGCGGGAGCGGGGACTCTGCCATACAAAGGCCGAGTCCTGGCTTTGTCTTCATCAGGGTCACCCAAAAGTTACAACAATCTGGCCGGCCTGAATCAAATCAGGCAATGAGTAACTGCCAAGCTTTCTGTGAGTGCCCAGGCTGGAGTGTTTCTAGCCCAAGCCGGTCTTTCAGGTATGGCAAGACTGCTACCCGCCTCCCCACCCCCAGCTCATGCAGCTGAGGGGTGGGCCTGGAAGGTGGTGTTGGCACCCCCACCTCACCCAGATGGGCTCCAAAGGACCCTGCACTCCTTCTTCCTAAATGGCCTTCTTCCCACATGGCGGTCAATGACCAGTGAGCCCCCTCACTGGCAGCCTCTGACCTCACCTCATACTCCTTCAGGGCAGAATCGGGGCTGGGGCTACCTGGCCTTCCACCCTGCTCCCCAGTCCCCCAAAAGCTAGCCCTTTGGCCCTGCATTCATGCAACTAATTAAGGGTTTACACGGGAGCCTATGCGGGGCTTCTCGAGGCGAAGACTCCACTATGGCACCAGGCTCAGTCCATCCTCCTGGAGTCTAAGGTAATAAAACAGAAAGAAAACTGACCCGCGCCCGGCTGCCTCTGGCCTCTGCTTCTGACTATGGCCATTTCGGAGAAACATGAAGTTTTTGCATCGACCATATATTCCCCTAGAATCGAATCTGTGACTATGTGGATACCACACAAATTCGGTTCTACAGGGTATATATAGACAACGTTACTAGTTCCAGGTTCCACCCAGAGTGGGTACCCAGACCACTGGCAGCCCCGGCCTCTTCCTCGGAGCCATCACCAGCCCGACGCAGCTCCTCGCACTTTCAGAGAGGGTTCAGGTAGCTTGGAGAGCTTGGTGAAAATTTGCAGCAACGAGTTCCCCATCCTTGTACCAGGGCTGGAGTGACTGAGCAGCCAAGGAGACGGGACAGTCTTCTTAAGAAAGAAAGACAAGAAAAGAAGAAAAAATAATCCATCCTGGAAATGGCAGCTTTATTACCCCCCCTCCAGATCCAGCTACCCCCCCCCTTATCAAGTGGTATTTTCCTGAAAGGTGCAAACGCCCTCAGAGGCAGAAGAAAAGATGCAAGAGGGGAATATCCTCCACCCATTCTTTTTTCCCCAGTGTGGGAGCAAGCCAGGTTGGCTGACAAAGCTCGTTCTCCCAGAAGTCTCCCATTTACCTTCCTGGGCCCTGGGCCCGTCTGGCCGCTCTGTCCCGCTGCTGCAGACCCCGCGGCAGGCACTGCTTGCAGGCACGGAGCTGCCCTGGGCTAGGGTCGGCGCGCTAATGGTGAAGGGCAGGGCGAGGGGTCATTTGAAATCATTTACAAACATATCACAAAGTTTCATTATTTCTGCTTTGCCGACAGCACCACACAAGAGTACAAAAGTTCAGGAACTGCACCCGCCCCAGCGCCGTCTAGGGCTCATCCCCCCGTCTGGGGCACGAAGAACACAGACACACTCGGGGCCCGGATGGGCTTCAGGGGCAGAAGGATGCCCGGGCTCAAGAGGGGCTTTTGGATCTCTGACCGTAGGCCAGAGGTGTTAAAAATTTTTTTTTGATTGTTTTGGTTTTCTCCCTTATGATTCAAAAATTAGTTTCAGCCTTATCCTGGATCTGGTGGGGTAGAGCAGGGAAACTCCCCTCTGCCCCCCAGCCTGGCAAAATTGGCTCCCTGCTTCTACTCTGCACTTTGGACACTCCCCACCTCACCCCCTCCATCCTTTGGTTCCAGGGCTTTGGCTATTTCGTAGGGATTTCCTGGGTGCCAAATCTAAGGAGAGTCCGAGGCTACCCCATACCAAATTCCCTTGTTCAGGGGGGGGTTCCCCCCAACTTCCCCTAATGCCCAGCGCTCCCACACACCCACCTGCCTGGGGACACTGGGCCTAGGCTTTACCCAGACAAATTGGGGGAGGCTGCTGGGCTGGGTGGGGATCCGGGTGAGGGTACACATTTTCATATTTGTTAGACGCTGTGACCTGCATTTCACCTTATTGCTCCACTTGTTCAGACAGGTCAAAGCCAACGAGTTATTGATGAACAAAAGCGTTAAATATTCACCTCCCGCTCAACTGCCCATACAAATGCTTTTGATCTCTCGGGCTTTTTGTGCTGTGTTCAGCTACAGGGTGCCGAATGTGGGTTTGCAAGCGAGGAGCACTGGCAGAGATAAGCACCCAGAGCAGGGGCAGTGGCAGAAAGGGGGCAAAACCAGGGTGTCCTGGGGACACCAGATTTTCCAGCCTGGAGCCCAGAGCTGGTTTCATTTGGGCCAGCCTGATTAATAGAGGGGAACTATGAACTGGGCAGAATCTCCACTTCTGGGGAGGAACACAGCCCCCAGGAAGTCAAGTAGGTTGCTCACCCTGGGGGGGCAGAGAAACCTGGCCCAGAGCCAAGCCCTAGCAAAGGGTGTCTCACCAGAGAGGAAGGGTGCCTGGCTTCTATAGCCCTCCTCCATTCTATCTCCCATTAAAATAAAATAATCTCCATTTTGCAGTGAGGGAAGCCTCACTGTTTCTTCCTTAATTCTTCTGCCACTACCATCACCTTAATGGGCTAGCCCTTCTGGAGATCTCACAGGCCGCCTCAGAAATGTACCTGTCTTCCGCAGCACAGGCAACTCAGAAAGATCCAAACTTCTGAGCCCAGGTCCCCAAGAATCTCTGCCCCCCACCGCAGCCCTACCACCACCACCACCACCACGACGTTTGCCTGCAACACTAGCGGCTCTGGCGCGAAAATTCTCGAACTGCAGCTCCAGAGGAGCAGAGGTGAACCAGAATGGTCGTATCCCTCCCGCCTTGCTCAGCCGGTGTCCCCAGCCCAGAGCCCAAACCTCTGGGGCTGGCGCGGGGGAGGGGCGGGGAGGGATTTCCACCTAAAGCTCAGAATTCGCAGCCCTTCCCGGAAGCGGACCAACTTCACACACCCGCAGCCGTAGAGGGTTACGTTTTTCTTTCTTCTTTTTTATTAAAAACAGAACAAAACAAGAGAAGAGAAGGTTGGGCCAGGTTGGACCGGGTTAAGCTAGGCTGGGCTGCGGAGGGGAACCGCGTTGATCTGGCGTTTAGCAGGCTGGTTCAAGCAGAAAGCGATGCTCGCCGAAACTCAAAACTCGTTAATAGGGCGGGCTGCTAATTAGCTGCAAGCTCTTAACAGAAGCGCAGGGCGGCAGCGGAGCTGCACCTGTGCGAGCTGGGGAGGCCTAGAGAGGCCCAAGGAGACAGGGGCGAGAGCCTGCGGTGTGTTCTCTTGGTTGGGTGGCTGTGAACTAGGCCCCAGGAAATCTATCCAGGAGCACAACTTAGAGCCTCCACTCCCAAAGAGAGCTCGCCTCGCACCGCCAGGCCAGGGCGGCCAGGGCCGCCCTTCCACCCGCCCAGTCTTCTGGCGCGGCCCTTCCGCCAACACCTCCCCAGTTATCAATACCGCCTCTTCGCAGTTCGGAAGAAACGGGAAGGTACTTACAGCGGCAGTCTCTCACGGCCCCGAACCTGTTGCAATGAAAACGGGGGTCACTTAAATTCCACAGGATAATAAAGCAGAGGTAGAGGATATACAGAAAAATGACAAGGCCCAGGCACCCCACCAATACCCAGACCGCCCCGCTTCGGGTGCCGCCCCCAGGAACTGCGCCAAGTTCTCCGCGGAGCGCGAGACCGCAGTCCTCAAGGGCAGACCCGGGCAGTAGGAGAGTATGGCCCCCGTCACCTCCCCCACTCCATGCACCCTTGGGCAAAACCTTACTGGTTGCCTGGCCCGACTCAGGCTGCCTGTAACAGGGTTTCCCCAGTGGGAAAACGGGAAGCGAGGAGAAAATGGGCCTTTGTGTGTTTCCTTCTACACAATCGGCCGGGTGGGCGCAAGTCCACTGGGGAGGGGGCGGCCGCTGCATCTGTCCCCTGCCCCAGCTCCCCGTCTGCCTCGCGCTGGGCGCAATTCAACCCCCTTTCCCAGTTTCAGATTGGTTTCAAATTCCCCAGCCCCAACTAGCGCCCCCAAAACCTGTCTTCTCCTTTCCAAAGAAGGGCCAGGCACGACTGGGACTTGCCTTCCCACTTCTGCTCCAATTCAAAACAAAGAACAATTTCCAAGGGAAATGGGGACCCAAATGATAACCAAAGGAGGAGGAAAATCGATGGGTTTGAAGGTAAATGGCAATGCTTTAGATTGTTCCGCAGCTCTCTGGATGTGACAGCATTTTGTCAAGCATTGCTACTGGAGAGCCCACAAAGCAACCTTACAGAGCCATGCTCCTCACAGGGGCTGGTGTCCAGCTTTAAGTTTTCATCTATTCTAGGATGGCAGTCTTCCCTGAGAAATCTCAGAGGCAAAGCCCTCTCCATCCTCATCCTTTCCCTCCCTCCCCCTTTCTCCCCCACTCTCGCACTCTCTCCACCTAGACTACCACTGTGTAATTCCACGTCTGAGGCAGATGCTCCATTAGTAGGAGGAGAGAGACAGTAAGTCCCTTTTGTGAGGTAGGAGCCCTCAGTTCCTAACTTTCTGTGTCCAGAAGGGAGGGGAGGAAACCGGGATTCCCATTCTATTTGTTAAGTGAGGTTTAGGCTAAAATGAAAATTAACTTCTCTGGGACTTCTCTTCACCCCAGGCAGGAAAGAGAAGGCAGAGAAATCCCCCACCCCTGGAGCTGTCCTGGAAAAAGTAGTAAGTGACTTACTGGTTTTCTCTCCTAGTGGGCAAGGGAACTGGGAGTAGAACTGTCTCCTTCTGAGCCTGGTGCTAGCTGGAGCCTCTCACTTCCCTATCGCTCCTCCAAGAACCAAGCATCTGCACTTGTATGCTCTTAACCTAATTTATGGTGGGAATTATATTTTGGCTTGTCAACTCTCAAGCCATAAAACAAAGTTTATTGGAATCACGTGCTCGTAAATAGCCACTCAGGTCTCATCTCTGCACAACCATAAATAACCTTCGGCTTTAAACTTTTATTCACTAAATAAAGGTTCACTGCAACTGTTCTCTCACATTTAAATAGTTCCAAATATTCAGGATGCAAGGGGGATCATATTCATATCAATACCCTGGGCTTTTCAAATAGCATCTTTTCAGAGAAGTCTGTTTAAGCTGGGAGATAGTGCTATTTCGAAAAGACTGGTTGGTGGGCATGTCTTATGATTCTTTGGCTGCATTCACTGTGAGTACCATCAACTCCTTTATTTCAATCATTCTCTAGCTCTAGATGTGGTAAATAAAAAGGCAAGTCAAAGGCTACTCCTTACTTGCTTATACCAGGAATTATTTGAGATTTTGTTCAAACTTCAACAGAAAAAAAGGGTGGTTAGGGAGAGGCTGGGTGGGCTTGGGGTGGGGGTGGCATTTGGGGTTAACACTTGGCTCTGTATTGTTGTGGATGGGCTCAGTGAGAAAGGTGAAGGTAGCCACATGCCTAGAGGTTTCTATAATTTGCTTGGCTCTGAAAGGGGAGCCTTTGCAAGTGACCAAACTGCTTAAAACAGCAAGACTTGGGGTTTGGTAAAGTGAGAAACTGGAGAATAGCCCCATCGGGATCTTTGGCAACTGAAGCTCTAAAAGAAGGTTATAAAACAATAAAACAGCCTTGGTGTGAAGGAGACAGGGTGTGAGGAAGCAAATGAGGTTCTCAAGGAACCCAAGCCCAGGAAGTCAGATGTCCCTGCTCCCACAGGGCCAGGGGCTCATGGTCCCTGCGCCCAAACCTGAGTGAAATGCTACGCCCCCACACTGCCACTCCCAAAAGAGGGTGAGCCTAAGAGAGGAGGAGGGAGTGCGCTCTCCTGCTGAGAAAGCCCAGAAAAGGAGCTTGGGCCCGAGCTCTACCGCTCTACCGGAGAATGTGACATTCTGTGCTGGGCTAGATGGGGGTGGGAAAGATGCCCCCAGCTCCCACCAAGGGGGATACATAAAGAAAGAACTGACTCCCAGCACCCTTCCATGGCCCACCAGAGTTTCTACCAATCAGTGTGAAAACATGTATGATTTTGACTATTCTGATGAAAAGAATGGGAGTTATGTGTAGGTTTGTAGAGCACGCGCGCACACACACATGATTTCTAAATCAAATTCAGTTGCCGAAGTTCTCAGCAAGTCCTACCAAGCCCATGAATGAGATCCCTCTCTACAAAGATCTCTTTGCATTCTAACTTCCACCCATTCTCTGGGTATTTCTGAACTCATTTCCTGATTTGACTTTCATTAGCGGAAAACGGGAGCTGTTAGCTCAGACTATATGGCATTTATTTCTTAGCCCCTTAGGAGGACCTTTTTCTTTTACAGTTGGTAGTATCCATTTTAAAAATATGAGTAAAAAGCAACCCTTTAAAAAATGATTTCTGATTCTGTTAGGATTAGGTGAGCAGCTTAAAAATTAGTCCCAGTTAATCCACCGTAAAAAAAATACTTAGAATTTGAGAGATGGAGAACAGCTTTATTTTTCCTTAATAAAACAGAATTAATCAAAGGATGTGTGACTTTCTAGGCAATTGTGTGAGCTTTTCATGGGGGGTGGGGTGCAAGGAGGAGACCGAGCTGAGGAGGTGGTTGTTTGAAACAATGCCAGGTGCCTGATCTGGGCTCAGTAGATACTTTTTAAATGAATGGCAATGAAGGACGGTGCCTGGGCTTGCTTGCAGTCTTCACTGTGGCTCACACAAGAAGATGAATAAAATGACACAGCCTATTCTGTATATTGAGATGATAACAGGAAAGTAACCAGCCATGCAGAGGAAAAAGGAGGAAAGGAAGACATTGAGGCAGATATCTTCAATTACTTTCTAATCTTAGGGCAGCCAGACAACATGATTAAGGAGAGAATGTCCACCTTCCTACAGTCTTCCCTTGCCCCCAAGCTCCCAGTGTCCTGGGCTTCTGTGAATGAGGGAGTGGGGAAAAGAAGGAACAAACTTGGTCTAAGAAGAAGGCTGAGCGTCAGGGGGAACAGCATACTAACTTGGACCAATGTGTTGGAGTTTTCTCAAGGAGTTTCAATGGTGGTGGTAGAAGTAACAGAAGAAGAGGTGTGGAAGGAGAGGTTGAAGCCTTCTTTAAAACCTGCAATGAATTCATTTTGGGGAGAAGCGGGACTCTGGGCACTATCCCTCCGCATTTGGCTGAAAAGGGCCCCTGGGAATTCCTGCCCAGAAAGCTCCCATGAGGTAGGGTCCCTGGTAGGGCTCCACCAACCTAGAAGCCAGAGCAGCTCCCAGGAAGGAGGAGAAAGTGAAGGGGCATCAACAGGTATCAGCTACACTCCAGGTGTAATGAGGTCTGCCCTCTGTCCACTCTAAGGGCCCTTGCTATGTGGCCCCCAGGGAAGAATAGTCTGACATTGACTTTTAAGAGGCCTCTTGCCCAGAGGCAGTTTTGAGCTCTCCTCTTAAACTAAGTGTCTGCATAACCAGGATAGGTAGGGATGGGACTTTGAATGAACCCCCTAGGTAGGGGGCAGATGGAAGAAGAAGACTACCTAGGCCTGGTACTTGGGAACTCAGGATGGGGGTACAGCCAGAGAGGAGCTGAGCAGGGAGTCCCAAGCAGGAGAGAAATATAATCCCATCTTCCTGGCACTATACTCCAGCACTTAAAAAGGAACACTTCTCCCACTACCCTCAACCCTACCTCCTACAATGGAGTCTGCTCATCGGAGTTCTGGCTTGGTGTCCTCTGGGAAGAAAAGGTGACCCCAGAGGAAAACTCCAGTAGTGAGAGATGGGATCCAAATGAATGGGCCCTGAGACAGGGCCTTTGATGATGGAGCTGGGGGCTAGAAAAGGCTCCGGGGGTCCCAAGAAGGGTAGGGCCTGGGATGGCCATCTTAGTACTTTGAGAAACAAGAGTGGAGCTTAGATGGCACGGGAGTCGGGGATGGCTGGGGATTGCAGCACTGCCCTATGCCATAGGCCAAACTTCATCTGGCAAGGTTGGTAGCTAAAGAGACTATATGTGTTTTGAGAGAAAATCTGACCCAGGTGAACTCCTGGGTAAGCCAAGAGAAGTAGCTTGGCAAAGGGCCGCGGAGGCCTTGTTAGGAAAAGTCTATAAGCACAAGTCATGGAAGCCAGGACTAGGGGTTGGAACTGGTTGCAAGGGGTCTGTGCACGTACGTGGGTTGTAGCATGAAATAGTATTTACATAGCTCTTTTAAAAAGATAGAAAGAATCTCAAAAATCTGGAAAGGCTGATGGAGATTTGGGGGGATAAGGCCTCTCCAAGATACACGCTGACATCAGTGTGGCCCAAGTTTGCTGTGGCTCAACCATGGCCCTGGAGCCCAGATCTTGGAACACAAGCAGATTAAGAGGGAGTGGGACACTTCTGGCATCCTCTGCTATTGCCCACTGGCCTCTTGCCTTTTTACCCTGCTCCAGATTTCAAGAGGCTAAAAAGGGGATACTTGCTTTGGTGGGTGTGACTGACAGGTGGTGGTGGAGGTAACTCTCTCAGGAAAGACCTGCAGCCTTCTGTAGGAGTCACAGATGTGCCTGTGTGGGCTCAAGGCCTCCTCAATCTGCCCATCTGCCCACTGAGGGGGTAGCGGCACTTTCCTTCTGGATGCATCCCTGAAGTCTACCCACAGGCAGATGCCAGACACCCGAGACCCAAGGGAGCAGGGCCTACGAGGCCCACTCCAGCAAGAGGAAGCGCCCCAGAACTATGTTCTCCTGGGTCTGTCACTTCCTGTGTGACCAAGCCTATGCCTGTCTTCTCCTCTGTAGATTTCAAGAATTGGGTGAGTGAACCATGTCTCTTTCAGCTCTAAAAGTCTAGGCCTGATGTTGAGCAGAAAAGAGAAAAAAATGATAAGCAGTATGTACTGAATGCTTGTTATGCGCCAAAACACTCTTTCAAGTACTTAACCAGTGAATTAATGTTTAAGGTAGTTAGAATATCGCACAGCACACAGTATTGCTATGTAAGTAAAAAAATCTTCATAACAACCTTGAAGGTACTCTTATTCCTACTTTTCAAATGAGGAAACAGGCCCAGGGAATTTGCCCTATTTGCCTGTTACAGAGCAGGTAAGTGGTAAAGATTTGAACCAAGGCGGTCTGAACTGGGAACATACTCACCTCTTGAAAATCTCCAAGTTAGCAAGAAATCAATGTCCCCTTCCCTAAATGGGAGCAATTAATCAGCCTATAGGGTAGTGACATTTAAAAACTCAGTTAGGGAGGGAGCCCCAGGAACTATGGGGGTTGCTGAGTGGTAAAGGGAACTTGGCCCCTGGATACCAAAGAACCATAGAAGAAGCAGGAAAGACACTTGATCAGTAGTGGGCAAATATAAGCATGCTTCTTAATTGCCTTTTGGGAGAGTGTTTACAAAATGCAGGTCCCAGATATTATGATTTATTAAGTCCGGCCTGAGACCCAGGAACCTGAATTATAAACAAATTTGAATGCAGGTCTTTATTAAAGAATCATTGTCCTTAAGTACGGAAAAGAGGGAAGAAAAAGACTGCATTGACAACAGACAATGGAGGATCAGTGGTGTTGGGTCGGGGCCCACTGTCGAAGTTGGGTGTCACAGTGGTGCAAGAAACGACCCGTGGAGCCCACCAAGGTCCTGAAATGGGCGCAGGGGTGAGAGGAGTGTGTGTGGGTGGTGTGGAAAAGGGCTGAGATGTGCATCTGCAGTGTTCTCAAGCTGCAAAGTCAATGAGATCCGCCCTCTCAGCCTCAAGGAAGCCCAGAGGGAATCCCGGAACCCAGGCCTTGTGGTAGGAGAGTCAGCGCGAGGCCCGTCCGCCTGCCTCGGGAGGCGCTGAACGTCGTGCTTTTCAAGGCTGCGGATTCTAGCTACCAAGGATCGCAGTAATGAAAAGTGGCAAGAACAGCAGCCCAGCCCGAGGGGGATGGTTAAACACGTCTTGTCCTACCGCGGGACCCTAGTTTCCTGCTTCTAGGAGCCCAGCGCGCGGAAATCGCGCCACCTCCGGGAAGGCGGAGGAAGTGAGGTGGCCTGCCACCCTGGAATCTGCCTTCAGGCTCCGCGGCCTCGGGTCTACCTAAAACTGCCCATCCCGGGAAGCAGCCCTCTGGGGGTGGGCGCAGTACCTCCGACCCTCCACAGAGGCCAAAGCACTTGGCGACCGGAGGAGGAGGAGGAGGAGGAGGAGGAGGTGGAGGAGGAAGAGGAGTCACGTGTCCTCCCCTACCCCCGCCCGCGCCCGGGGCATCACCGGCGCCGCCGCAGCGGGCAAGACGCTTGTCCTACAGCGCCTCCTCCTGGACAAGGTGCCAGACAGCGGAGCAGGGGGACTGAGGCCGCCCGGAAAACCCGAGACTGAGGCTTCTCCGCGCGGGTGGAGATCTTCCCGCACCAGAGGCTGGGAGCCGGTCCCCCAGTGTCCCCTGGGGCGGCCAGAAGGCGAGAGGATCCTGAGACCCCCTCCCGTCCTACCCCCCAGGCTCTCGGCCCAGGAGCGTGCATCCCCCATTAATTAGGCGAGTCCAGGCGGAAAATCCCTCCGGTTTGCCCGTTTATTTATTTGACCGCTCTCTGCCGAGCCGCTGGACCCCGCAGAGCCCTCGAACGTGCTGCTCTGGCGTAACAAAGTCCGGGAATAGTACGGCTGAAGGACTGGCCTTAAGTTTAGCGGTTTGAGCAGAAGCCTGGAGGAAAGGCCTTTTCCTAAAGCAGAAGCACCAGGCTGAAAAAAAAAAACTAACACTTCCCTGAGGATCACACATAAAAATGTTCTTTTAAGGTGTTAAAAGTGTGTGCGTGTGTGTGCGTGTATGTGTCACTTTTAACACCTTCAAAGAAGATCTGGCTTCCCTTTGGCCACTAGTTCGCATTTGCAGACTGTTTCTAAAGTACAGATTTAAACTGGGATGGGGTGGCGAGTCAAGATGATTGCAAATAACGTAGTCCAGGACAACATGTTTGGCTATATTTAGATTGAAGGCTGGAATAAAGGAAAGATGAGCAGCGAATACTGAGGGAGGGGGGAGTGGAGAGATCGGGTTCTATCTTCCGGCTGAGTCCACTTGCCCCCTCCCCCATCCGTGCCTTATGGCTGGATCCCCGGGCTGGGCTATTTCACTGCACATGCGCCAGACGCCCAACGAGCGTGCGTGGCAGGCGCTTAGGGCACTGAACTGTAAGAGCAGCTCGCGCAGCGCTCTGCGGCGTGCGCCAGCGCGCACTGCTTGCGTGCTCACCTGCAGAGGAGCTTGGACGCCCCATCTCAGAGAGGCAGGAAACGTACTTTCTCTTTTCTTTTTTTTTCAGGAAAACCTGTATTAAAACCCCCCAGCCGTCCTTTCTGATTTGCAAGCCCTGTTCCACCAAGCCAACAAAATCGCCATGTTGCCAATGAACACTCTCAAGGTTGTCATTTGGATCAGCAATTTCACATCCAGTACACTGCTTCTCTTGAGTGGTTAATCGAGGCGGGGCAAAATCACCCTACGTTCAGAAAGCACGACTTATTCCTCATTCTGCACAACCATCAAGTCTAATGGACTCGTTCCTAGAAAGAGGGTATCTATTCACACCAATTCCGGAAAAGTGGCCCTAAATTGGACTTAAATCGGAATTCCGAGTTCTTGGTGGCTTCTCCCTAGCTTCCGGTGCCCCCGCGTGCCCTGCCCCGCGGCCGCACTGCGGCAAGGCCGTAAATACCTCTAACAGCTGCCTGCCTGCCCAGAGTGAAATACTGTCTTTGTTCCGATTTCCCCTGCTTCTCTAGCTCAGAAAACAGAATTCTGGCGAAATATATTTATTTGAAGGAGCATCTGACAGGAAAATACGTTTGGTTTTCAGCCCTGGTGCTTGGCCACATTTATAATAGCGCGTTTTGCTCTTTTCCCTGGTCCCCATGAAGAGTGCAAGCCCAGCTCACAGCCTGGCCCGTAAAAACACCGAGGCTCCGACATGTCAGTGGCTCCCTGAACTGTAAACGGATAGAGGTTCGGGCTGAGGACGCTGGGAGTTACACTTCCTGGCTTGTGAGCTCTTAAGAGTCCAAGTGTTTCTTACTTAATTTTTAAAAATTGAGTTTAATTTTTTTAAAATTGGGGTTAACATGGACAATGGGGGCATTTCCAACAGTAGCAAAAGCGTTAACTAGTCTTCTCCTGGCCTGAGTTCAAATGTGATTTGCAGATTATTTATTCCCTTAAATGCAACCGACCATTAAGTTCCAATAAGCTCTTAATGCTACCACAGGACTTACAAAGAACCCTTCAGTCCTCCGTATCTGCCCATGACCTCACCCTCTGCTGCGTAACAGGACCTGAAGCCTGCCTCGGTTTTTAGTCACTTGGTCGCACTCAGCCACCCAATCCAGGGAAAAGCGACTGAAGCTCCGAACCCTAGGGCTTGGCCATCATGGCCACAACTCCTCCCCACCCCCACGCTTGTCCCAGCCCACCTAGGGGGCTCCTCAGGCTTTGGAGCTGCCAGGGGACAGGCCTACGTGCCTCTGACCAAGGGCCTGCTTTTCAATAGGTAATGCTTTTTACCAATATGAAACAATGATCTCAACAGCCATTGTACCGTAGTGGCAAAATAGTTACAAAATACAGACATTCCAAATAAAAAATACACTTTCTTATTTGTGAGATCATAGTGATCCACCACAATTCCTCAGCATCAACTGGCCACAAATTAGTGGCGCTCCATTTTGAAACCAGCGTGATCCCATCGTTAATTACTAAAAATACCTTTCTACACAGATATCATTATTGTTTGGGAACACTTTTATGGCCAAAACGATTACAAAGGAATATTTGGAATATTAGGATTTGCCGCTGGGTGCTTTGGAGACGATATTCAGCGGTGCGCAGGTCCACCCCATGCGCAATGCGGCAGATTGTCCACAGGTTTTAATATTTCACAAGGTGTTCATGAGGGAATAGTCAAGAGAATTTGAGAGATGCATCCTCAAATGCTGTTCAAAATCGGTAGGCTAAAAGAGCATTCTTTTTTTTTTTTTCCTGCAAAGTATTTTCTTTTGATGCATAGATAATGTTTCAGTTCAGTAATTTTGAAGAAGAGGGTAAAATGTTGCTATATAACGTTTATTTGTAGGCAAAAACCCACAACAGGGCATTTAGAGAGCAAAATACCTACTCTTCCTATTCTGGCAAATAAGAAACACACGTAATATTTGAACTTAAACATGCTTTGAATTTCTTAAATATCTATTGATTTTTACCCAAGACCTGCACTGGATTTTCTGACCCCGTTCCCTCCCAGAGCATGTATCCATTTTGTGACATAAAATAATCCAAATTCACCTGATAGATTATTAGATGTGGGAGGAACCTTTCTTAAGTTGCTACAAAAATTCTCTAAGAACGAGAGAAACGGTTAAAAATATTTAAAATTCCATCTCATACATAAGGCCCAATAAACCATAAACCCTAAAAATTAGCCACCATCACTCACCAAAGCCTAGATTAACAAACCAAACACATCCTGGGTGCGCAGAATCCACCCCACCCCCACCCCCAGCCCCAACCCTCAATCCTCAAAAAACACCTGTTAGCGTCCCAGATACCTCTGACCACAGACAAGCCGCAAAACACGGCTCTATACTACCGAGTGCCTTTAGTGACCCACAGCACAGCTAAGACGTCCAGGAACCATCTACAGATTCTTCCCAGGTTGGGGATTGAGGGGCTCTCGATCCAGTGGGGTCCTATCTGCCGGTCTCCACCTCTCGGAATCTCGAGGGGAAATGAGGCTTCCCTTCGACTTCTGAGCTCAGCCAGACCCCACCCGGGGCCCCAGGGGACGCCTGCTCAGAGATGGAGTGATTAGGAAGCAGGGGGCGCAGACAGCCACCCCAAGGTACCGGAGAAGTATAGGGAGTCGGGCCAGGCTCACCGGGCTGCCCAAGGGGGTGGGCGCCTGGAGCTCGTCGGCGGCAGGGCTGGGGCGCGGGGAGGGGCGACTCTTACCCGGAGGCTGCCGAGCAGGAGGCGGCGGTCGGCCAGGGCGGCTGCAGTAATCCATTAGGCGCTGCCGGGCTACGCGCACTGGGGGCGGCAGGGATCCGCTCATGCTGGAGAAGGAGTCGCCTCGGAAGCGCGCGGCTGCAGTCACCCGGAGCAGGCCGGCTGCTCCCGGCGGGCGGTGTCGGCGCCGGCGGGGGCCTCAGCGCCCAGGGCTCCTTCCGGGCTCTCCCGCCCGCCAGGCTCCCCACCGGCTCCGGAGGCGGCAGCGGCGCTGCCCGAGCGAAGCGGCGGTGGGGCCACGTTGGGCGCCGGGCGGGAGCGGAGGCCGCCGCGGACCCCGCAATCCCGCAGCCGGCGACTGGATCCCACCTCTGCAGAGACAAAGGTTAGAAAAAGAGGGGGTGAGGCTCCAGGAAGGCAGAATGCGGGGGGAAATTCGCCTGGGAAATCAGGAAAAAGGCCGTGAAGGCGAGCGGCGCCTGCACATGACCAGCCGCAGCCAATGACGACCGCAAATAGGTCATAAAAAGGTCTATTACCAAGTTGTAAATTTTCTTCAAACAAAAAGGAATTTGCTGCAATTCCTTGCGGATTTTGCACATACAGCTCGCAAGCGCCATGTTTTTTCCTCTTTCTCTCCCCGCTATCTTCTGTTCTCTCTCTGTTCCTCCTCCTTTTCCGTCCTTCCTCCTCTCCTCTTTCTTCCTCTCTGCTCTTCTCTGCTCCTCTCTGCTCTCTCTGCGTCTCTTGCCTCCATGGTTCCTGACTCTCACCTTTTCTAGGAAGTATTTCTTTTGCTCTTTTTTGGTTTGGCTCGAAACCTCTGCTGAATAGAGCGTTGTGTTGGAGGGGAAATGAATGCGGTGGACTGCACTGGCGCTCCGGGAGGTGATGCTGGCAGTCACCCCCCTCCGAGTCTCCTTGCGCGGGTCACTTGGCTTCTCCTCCCCTCCCCTCACAGAAAGGCCGGCCCGGGAGCAGCAGTCAGGCACTTTCGGTTTTTGCCCCTCTCATCTCCAGGCAAGCCAGCCCCAGTGATCTTGCGCAGAAAACCAGGGCTCTGCAGGCCAAGAAAGCCCGCCCTCCCCCTAACACCTCTCCAACATAAATTGGGGTCCCTCCCATTTCTTGGGGTTTCCAGGGGTAGGAGAGTCACCAACCAGCTCAAAGCCTGGAAATGGTTTTAGGTACTTGTCAACTTCTCCAAAATAAGGGTTTGAACTCCCAATGCTTGGCATTTATCTTGGCAGAAATATCCTCCTGGACAGTGCTGGGTTCAAGGGGAAGCAGTCTTTCTGGATCCCCTTTGAAACCCCTTGCTATGTCTCTCCTAAGTGCATTTCTTATTTCTATGCAATTTAATTCTAGTTTTCCCTTCTTCCATTGCCCCCCAAATGTTTGCCCATCGAAAAGCCTGCTCAATGCAACATTGAAGAGGAGAGGGGCTCCATTTGTTCCGGGAAAAGAGCGGACCCTCAGTTTCAGCCCTGGGAAGAAATAGTCCTTTTTCTTCAAAGGCAGGAGTCACATTCCTTTTGCACTTCTGATAGGAGCTGCGCCAGAGAACACCAGCTGAAAGTAAATGTCCTTGAGGGCCCCAGCATTCTCCTCATCATTAATGCATGGGCATGATCATCCAGGCTTCAGAACCTGCCTGAAAGAGGTAACCCATCCCCCCATCCTTTCAAGGGCACTGTCTTTGGACTTCTAGTAATGCATTTATAAATATTTGGATTGGATGTCTACGGGTAGGTTTTCTGCTATGAACATCCTCACATTCAGTAAGTACCTAAGTGAACATAGACTTAAGCAGGAAACACACAGCACCGTTTGAAGCAGGCCGTTTGTATCCCTTGAAAAGGTTCCGATGACCTTGGATGTTTTTTATTAAAGGAATTCTGTTGCCATCTGTCAGCAAAAGTCATATTCTTTCTAGAAACTGTGCTCTAACTTTGCTGGAGGGAACTATAGCAGTATCCAAGGTCCATTAAAATGTTCTATTCCCCTGTCCACCCCCAGATGCCGGAAGAATCAGCAAACACCAGGGAAGCAGAGGACACAAGCTTGGATGTGAAAGAGCAACATCTTGTGCATTGAAGAATAATAAAGTTTTTAATTACAAAAGAAAATGTGTAAGAATATGTGGGGCAAATTTTGGGGCCCTTCCAAGCTAGAATACTTTACACTGATTTGTACATATGGAACTGAACAGAGATTACTCACTTGTAAAATTATCTAAGAAATAATCTCAATTGCCAGTTTTCCTCTACCCACATAAAAGCGGAGCTTTATGACCCTCCTTTTCAGCCTGGGGAAGGGGGGCTGGGAAAAAGACTTTGCACTTTTGAAAAGGCAGCCATATTTGCACATTTTCCCCTGTGCAGAGGTAATCCAGGCGATGTGCTGGGCTTTGTGGAACCTCACAAAATGGCAGTCCCCGAACTGACTTTTCTCTAGAAACCATTGAGACCCACACCCTCTTTTGTGTGTTTCTGGTCCTTGCAAACAGAGAACCTAAATCACTTGGAAGGCCTGGTTCTTTCATTCAGTGTTAACATTGGAGGGTCCTATTTTTCTCTAAACGGTTTACAGACCTCTCTAAGCAGATTTTAAGCAATCCAGGGCCAAAAAGCATCGCCTAGATTTTCAAAGGATTCTCTGAAGGTTTATGCAAATTTCTGCAGCAAAAATGTTTGCTCGCTTCGCTGCAACCCTCGGATGTTTACAGATTTGAGCCAATTAGAAGGGTGTCTTCTGTGCTCGTCACCTCGAGTCTGCATGAAACACCATGATAGGGGGTTTCTAGCCACTAAAAGAAGGTGGTGTGTGTGTGTATGTGAGAAAGGGGGGGGGGTAATGCCCCAAGCTGTTTATTTGAAGGCAGATCTATGATTTTCTCAGCTACAAAAAGAAACACATATACCTACATTTATTTATGACCAACACTTTCTGCAATGTGTAATCTATGTATAAGTACAAATATACCAAATATATACTTAGAATACCACATTTGTATATGTACAAATACTCTGCAATGCACCAGGTATTACAGCAGAGTTTTTTTCTGTACAAGAGCTACAATTTTACTATGGGTTGGGGGCGATGGGTCAAGAAGGTACAACACTTCCAGAGCAACACAGAATATAGAGGAAATAAGGACCTTGCTACCTCCCCAACATTTCTTGATTTCCACATCCATTCATGCACCGGGTCCCCTGAGTCTTGCCCCAAATCAGTGACTCTAACACTGGAATTTGGGGAGCATTTTTGAGTGGGGGACAGAGAATTTTGCTAATAGAGGAATCACTTAAATGGAAGGCAGCTAGAGTTTGGCCAGCAAGAAGCTCTAGCCAGCTTGCGGCCGCTGCCACCTCCACCAACCCCCACCGCCACCAACCCCCACCGCCACCACCCCACAGGCTGTTTCCTAGCCATGCTTTCAGGCGCTTGGCATCTTCGCTCTAGAAGCCAACAGCAGAGTCTCAAGCAGCACACGGAGCAGAACGTTTCCAAATCTAGCATGCACATTTGCAGCTGTCTCCTCTCATGCAAATGTTTCTTAAGCCGCAGGCCACCCGTGACTTAAAATGGTCTTTTCCGGCTCAGGTCAGCGAATGCCACAGCCACAGCCTCTTCCCTGGTTAGAAAGCTAGGTGGTGTTTCACTTCTGGCCCCACCAATGCCAACATATCCCAGGTCCTTGAAGTGGCAGGCGAATAGCCCACCAATGCCTGAGGGGCTGATTCAGGCCTAAGACAGATTCCATTTTCTTACCTGTGCAATAAAAACCATTCTGGAAATTAAAATGTACCTCTTTAAAAATAAACGCATCTAGAAAAAGCGAAGAGCTCTTCAATGTCTACCCGATGAGGTGCTTCCCATTTTGAGGGGAGAAGTATTAGTTTACTTGAATTTCTCCTCTTCTCTACTACCCCTCTTCCCCCTTCTCTTCCCTCATAAAATGGCAGCTGCAGGAGCAGCCTCCAATGGGAAATGGCTATCTTGTTAATAACAAATCTCAAACCCCAGCATCAGCACAGGCTCAGCGGAATAATCTGTAGCGCGTAACCTGGACTCTGGGTCTTCCCCCACTGGGCCCACAACTTGAGTCCTCTGCGAAGTTCAAAGTTTTCACAGTTATCTTAGCAAGGTTATTTAGAGCAAGATGCAGCTAGGATAGCCTAGCCAGCCCTCTTTGGAATGAAAAAGAGACCCCTCCCCTGCATTTATTTATTTATTTTTACAACGCAGTGCTTGTAACCCCCACTCCCTTTTTTTTTTTTTTTTAAATCAAATAGAAGCTTTAGTGAAACATTGCCTTCTAGTAGCCCAGGTGGTGGTTCCTGACTCAGGGAAAGGGTTATGTGTGGCGCTTAAAGACACTAGCTCTAGAAAAAGATTCATTTCTTTATTAAGGAGCTCGCTATGTTCTGGAGCGGTTGTTTACACTCGGATTTTTCTGCATTTGCTCTCAGGGCTTGTTTCAATAGGTGAGGCCATCCTGGAGAACAGCAGAGGACGTACCAACCGACATCTGAGACGCACACAAGTTGGCTCAAAATGGGCGTGCAAACAGAGCGAAGGAATACAAATAAATATGGCACCTATTCAAAAAACGTAATCACAGCAGCGGCCACAGCATAGAAACCTAGCGATTTCAGGCGATACCAAGCGCAGTTCAAAACGAAAGCAAGTTGAGAAATGAGAGGCATTCCACAAGGCCACTTGCCAGAGTGAAAAGTTAATGAGTGAAAATGTTATAATTGGCTTTTCAAGTATTCATTCCCTTTAGATGATTAAATTGCCATAATTTGTATAGACTATAGAAAATTATTAAATGTCAACTATGACATTTTCCTGAAACTTCTGTCATTGGCCCAACATTTTCCCCAAGTTTAAGGAAGCTGCAGAGCCAGACTATACATTACACTCTTCAGCTAACATGTGCTTTATGAATATTTGGCCCAGACTTTCCCCAGAGATATTACATTTACAAAATACTCAAAGAAACCTTTTAGGAGTAAACAAAAGGCACCCGAACCATTCATTATAAAAGCAGAAAAGGAAAACATAAATAATACATTTTAATCAAATAACATAAAGTAAATATTCTGCAGGCATAATTTTTTAAAAAAATTAATAGATCTCTTTTAATTTACTCACCATAAAGAAATGATATTAAGTGTTCAAGTGCACTTGTTTGATTAATAAAGCATTTTATATTCAATTATTTAGTGCTAATCATTAGGAAGTTTATGTTGTTGAGGCAAATCACCAGCTCAGACATTAAAAACTACCATTACAAAAATATAGCAACAAGGTCAGTATCAAATTACCCTTACATAGGACAGCCCAAGCGCTGCTTCTATGCAATACTATAAACTTTTAACACCCAAACCCCTCTCAAAGCGCAGAAACCTCAAGAGCAGTGATATGAAGGTAGCTTGAAATACAGGTAAAGTCCTTTCCAACAAAGAAAATAGATGGTGTCCAACAGCATGTGTTGATCATAGTTTTAATAGTCCATGGTAAAATTTTAAAGGTAGAAGTTAATTTGTCAGGCCTTCAGCTCTGTCTTCCTCCAGCTCTTGGGCTTCCTTTTTGGTTTCCCCATCCTTTGCCTCCTGTCGGGAAACTGGGAATTTGTCCTTGTTGTTCTCTTTTTTCCATTTCATTCTCCTGTTCTGGAACCAGATTTTTACCTGTCTCTCCGTGAGGGCTAGGGCGTGGGAAACCTCAATTCTTCTCTTCCTGGTCAGATAAGGGTTAAAAAGGAATTCTTTTTCCAGCTCTAGGGTTTGGAAACGACTGTAGGTTTGTCTTCCTCTTCGTCTACCAGGAGCTGCTGATTTAAAAAAAAAAAAAAAAAAAAGGAAAACAAGCGTTTTAGAAATGTAATGGTGCCTCTGCAGGTTGCTGGAGCTTTCTGGAACGGGTCTAAGGGATGAAATATACACAAGTCTCCTTAGTTCTGATATATACACAGGATATGCAGGCAAGAAGAACAGAGAGAAAGTCTTCACAATTACTCTGTCCCCATCATCTTTACGCGGTTTCTACTTTACGGGAAAAAAAAAGTATTTATGAATAAAAGCCACTATAGCTACACAAGAAGGAGAAAGAGAGGGCGATGAAAAGGTAGTTTTAAAGCTAGAACGTGAGATGAAAGCAGAGTTCTCCCCCTCTCCCCACATTAAAAAAAAAAAAAAAATTGCATCCCAACCTTGTGGTCTCATCCAGGGAAACATTTGAGAAGGAGACGAGCTCTGATTTAAGTGGTCTGGGTCCTCGCCAATATTACCACTGGACGATTTACAGTCAGGATATTGTACCAGCTCGGCCTCTTGCTGGGTCGTAAAAATCGGCTGTCTCTGTAAGTTATCGTATCCGTAAAACTTCGCGGGCTCCCCGTGACAGGCAATCCCGCCGCAGGGGGGAGGCGGAGGATGCGGAGGATGAGGAGGAGGAGGGGGGGCGGCCTGGTAGGCTGCGGCCGGGCTGCCCCCGCCGGGGTGGAAGTAGTCCTGGCCGGGGCCCGGGCCACCCCCACCACCGCAACCCGGCCCGGCGGGCGGCGGCGACGGATGCGGGTGCGCGTGCGCCTGCGGGGGCGCGTGCGGGAAGCCAGCGGCGCTGTTGCCATAGAGCTGCAGGGCGGCGGCGGCGGCGTGGCGGCTGCCGACCTCGGGCGCGAAGTGACAGTCGTAGTAAGTGGGATTGATGGCCTCGCCCGCCGCCGCCGCCGCCGCCGCCGCCGCGGCCGCCGCCGCCGCCTTGTACTTGGAGTACAGCGGGTTTACGAAGTAAGAGCTCATCGGAGCGGCGGCGGCGGTGGCCAGGGGCCGAGGTAGGGCGGCCCCGGGCGGGCGGTGCGGAGCAGGCAGGGAGCGCGCCTCAGCGCGGCCGCACTGCCGCGGGGGCCTCTGGGGCGGCTGCTCGCGCCGCCGGGGCCGCCGGGGCCGCCCGGCTACGCTGCTGCTGCCGCCTGTCCGCCCGCCCGCGCGCGCGTCGCCTCTGAGGCCGGGAAGCGGCGGGCACTTGGCTACTGGGCGCTCATGCCCGGCTCTCGCGCCCACCGCCTCGGCCTCGCACCGCCTCCCTCGCGGGTAGCGGGGCCTCGCCCAGCCCC